CATTAGTAGAGTAGCCAATCACAGCGCAGTATGAGTGATAGACCATTAGTATGTTTATACTAATAACTATTAGACTTATTGTGCTTTCATGGTTGACGGAAAACCACTCTATTTTCTCTGTCTGTAATCACGGATCTCTTGTATGGGCACGTCCTGTTCCTGAATAAARCGAATATATTACACGGTTTTAAGGCTAACACACTGTAAAAGAGATCGCTAAAAGGGTACATTTTTCATGAAGGTACTGTACATGACATTTTGTGACGTCAATGACGTGACTATTGTGAATACAGTAATTGCCCATGTATGTTCGCTTGAAGACCTCTCGACATAAAAGCCTACTTAATAATGGCTAAAATGTTGAGCTTGTTTTTTATCTGATCAGTGGGGTTCCCGCTGTTAAATTGTGCAGGTAGAAACTAAATTCAGACCATCTATCCAAAGCTAGCAATTGACATACATTTTTTTCATTCGAGCTTAAAATGAAATAAAATAAGAAATTAAGTCGGGGCTTAATTGGACTCATTCTGAAAAATAACTAAACTAGGGTTCRTCTAAAACAAATTCATTTTCCGCATCCAATTAAATTTTTCTTGACTGTTATCCACTCCCATTACGTTCTGCATCTGTCACTGYATGAACGCCTATAAACTGGGTAGTCTAGACTTCTTCCTACATTGCAAAATTCAGGTTCTTATACACGGGCTATTATTGTGGCATGGCAATTGCAGCCYCAGTCTTTAATGCTGCTACACGGCACAAAAGGTGACGGTGATTAAAACGGCGAACTACGTGTAATTAAACCGGGACTGAGAGCGGCTGAGAGAAAATGCAAATTATTTGGTCTATCACTTTGTTGTTTTTTTTTTTCAGTTCTTATCTTTTTTCTTTTTTGTATTAAAAGTCCTTGCGCATGATGATCGGTTGTCCAAAACAAACAAACATGCGAAACAAACGAAAAAAAAAAACGCTCAGAAGTGGAAAAACGAGTCATGAAATTTAAAAAGGATTTTATCTCATATTCGCGCCGTATTAGTAAACTATTTGTATTTGTTGGCCTGAAAAGGGTTTGAGCGCTCTTAGAAGAAACCAGTGAAACTTTTCGATGAGATGAGAAAATCGTCTTATCCTACAAGTTACTTAAGAAGATAAAAAAAAACAAGTAAACGAAAGTAAATATACGATTAAAATGCCTTCATACCTTAAAGGTTTGTCCGGGAATTTTTTTTGTAATCTTTTCAAGTGAGTCSCGACTGTGGTACAATTACTCCTGAAATATTATTAACCCTCGCACTTTTTTTTTTATATGTAAACTCAGCTATGAGTGCATCAATTGATTCACTTACGTTAACCGGTRCAGGATACTTCTTCGAAACCTTAATGACATTAATRTGGTTCGTGTCTTCCAATCAAATTTCAATCAGTCAGACTTTTCGAAATAAATGACCGTATTTTACGACCGCTGTTATCAATCTTAATTCACTTTTATTGCCAGATGCATTTTGAGGATAAGTCAATATTCTCAGCTGTATTGTTTCATTTGAAAATCGTGCGCAAATAGCSATGAAGTGTACGTATATAAACAAAAAAAGCCATTCACATCAGCGCTATACTCAAGGATTTCTTTGCTTTGGCAATATCTGTGACATTCAGCAACTTGTTAAAATTACCGGCTCTAGCGAATACTGCTTACTTCCTGTAAGGCTTAAGCACCCTTTAGACAATCAAGAAAACTGTTCTTAATGATATTTGGTATTATTAGCGATGATTGATTGATTTTTGGAATTGTTTCAGACAAGTACCACTTTCGTCTTTTTCACTGTCTTGTGTAAGTCTTCTTCCTCTCAATACGGAGATTAAAACAAGTTGAAATTGAGATGGAGTATCTGCAATGCCCTCGGTCAAAAATGACATGACCTATTTCCTAAATAACGGTCAAATTTGACAGTATCAGTTGAATGTAAATATCTTTATTGTTGTTATTGGAAGTATATAAATTACTAATCACTAAGTATTTTTACTATATGGTATATGAAAGGCTTTTAAGGATAATAGGGAAAGGGAAAGAAGTTTCTGCTGAAGTCCTTTTTATGCTATACGTAACCAGAAGAAGATAGTTTCTATTTCCGTTCTCTGCGTCGCTTTGAAACACACGGGATTCTCGAAAACGGTTTTAAACCACCGAGCTGCATTTAAAGCGATTTAAACAACAACTCCAAGTGTTTCTAACAGAAAAAGGAAACATGGAAAATTTCTTCTTGAGCTTTAATAAAATAACCACMACTCCTCGATCAGCATCGTGTTTATATGCATAAAAAACAGGGTTTTTTTGCACCAATTAATGCGCGCAATATGTAATAGTTATTTTTAGGTCCGATACGACCTTCATGGGAAGGAATTGAAATCGCAAAACCGCGGACTTTATGGACAATTTCAAAGGAAACTTTTAAAAAACAGCAATGATTAGATTTTCATTATGCATGCTTCGCTTTACAAAATGGCGTAGCCGCACGATGGCMTACTTTTTTGAGCGCATTCCAAATTATTTTGGAATACAGAGCACAATCTAAACAGAAAACAAAGCAAAACGCCTAATCATGATATCCACGAACGGTTTTATAATACAATCCTTTCTAATAGTACCAGGTCTCGGTCATCCACACGGAGATGCTTTGTGAACGCAGTAAACGTTCCCAGGCCCTTTGAGGTCATGCGAACCCCAAACGAAGGGATAATGGCCTGGGAGCGAGATTGCTCTGCAAACGGATATTACTAGTTTTCACCTCAATTTGTCATGGCAGCCAGGTTGCTAGTATTCCTCATCATGTCAATTGTTCATATCATTAACATTACTAGCTTTTGAATCTCAGTCTACTAGACTTTTTAGTAGATTCAAACCAGCAATATCCATTTTGTACAACAGAGCATGATKGGAGATATCAGTCCTCGCGCTATTTTGTTTCGCTGTTTTCTTCACAAAAACGGATAACTACTTGTACAAACTTTGTAGATCATTTAAGCGGCCATACTAAAACACAAAGTGTTTAATAATSCTTTACTCAAAAAAATGGCACCGCAGAATGTTRCCATTTTGCGTATAAGTTTCTATAATCAGAAGACGATAGCTTGTTKCGATTAGTTCCGAACAGCGTGTGTAAAATAAGTGCACGAAGRCATCTAAGGGTGGGGCATCTKCCCCCTCGATAAAGAAAATGTGAACAGCGACGTTTCTARTTCTCGAAAAGTGATCGTTTACAAAGCGTCTACGTGTGGACAAGGCCCTGGGTGTAAGAACAACATAATAGCATTTCATCTCTAGAATATAAACAACGATATAATATCTGGTAAGAGCAATGGTTGTAGTTTTATATACATATAGAATAAAGTTCTTGTTATGTGTCTTGTGTGTGAATTCTTCGCCACATGCAAACAACATTAGTGTCGGCTGCGGCAACAATGTACTCTAGCGAACTGCTTGCACATACTTGGTTGAAGAGCTTGGTCGATTCGTTAGGACAAACTAATATCTGTAGACGAGAATTTGTCGTCATTCAGAAAAAAACAAATATGCTAAACATTCAAGGTTTCTACCTTGAAAAAAAGCCTAATAATTACGGGGGGGGCATGCTCTTCGGATCTCTTAGGGGTAAAAATTCGTGTTTGGGAATCTTTTAGGGTGCCAATTTGGATTTTCTGGAAATTTGCTTTTTCAGCATGGGGTGTCGGAAAAGAAGAGAAAGAGAAAGAGCGCGCATCGACATTGATTTGATTTTCCTCTGCGTTTTCACTATCACTGGAACTGATATAGTTTAACAATATTTGTAGTGCAATGTCTTAGGGATTAAAACTCAGTCAGCCACGCCTTTTTTTCAAAACTTCCGGGATCTTTTAAGGGGCTGATGAATCATTATAGCATGTAAGCGACAACCCAGCTGGCATAGAATCKCTCCCAACTGTCAGCGAAAACCTTATGCCTGATTCGTGTATTACTTTCAAAGTTTATGGATAATTAGATGCACATAAATTACTGTTTTGGTGAAGTTTTAAAACAGATTAGAACGCGCAAGTCAACACATAAAGATCTGGATTATTTTAGGCCTCTGATCGTAGGTCAGGATGTAATATTCTAGTTGGTCTTACCTGTGAGCTTTTATATGTTGGTGGTGTGGTATCACTATTACTATCATCGCGTTTTTCATTTATTTTATACATCCATACACAACCCTGATCATCACCGGCAATCAAAACCTGATGAGCTAAACATAATTGCTTCACTTTAGTAACAAGACATAAGTATCCAAGCGAACAAGTGGATTCATCCATTTTATTTCGAGTGCCCCTTTTGTAACACTTTCAAACAGTGTCCGCTTACTAGGAGAGCTTGAAAATGGCCCCCAAATCCACTTATCAGACTTATGAGAATCTTCGTTGATGAKAGTGTAGAATGTATGAGAGTACAGTCTTAGTATGGGAGAAAAACGGCGTCTTGGAGAGCTAACTATAACGATAGCTTTTGCAACCGAGAATTGAAATGCGAGTGTAGTAATATAGCCAAGCAAAAATATGTATTTTCATTGAAACGCAATGAGAGCAAACTGCATCAATATGCTAAAAGAACTGAATTAATAAGATGGACTTGAGACTATTAACTAATACATGAAACTTTCTTTATAATATTTTTCCTTGACCAAAGGCGCCCCATAATGCATTGCGACTTACAATATCACAAAATATTCAGGTTTACATACAGTTTTGACATTTGTTTCGCATTAATATCAATTTCTCTAATTAAAGCTATTATAGGTAAAAAGCTTTATATATTTATTACCTCCCCTCCCCCCTACCAAAATGACCGCCATATCGTAGAAGTAGTTCGATATGATCTATGCATTTGAATTCTATCTACTCTTACCTCGTACAWAGGAAAATTTTAAAAATGGGGTTTCTGTACGCCTCCATTGGAATTTATATAACTGAGTGAAGTCATTCTAGAAGCGAACAAAGTCATTCAATTAACAAAAAAAATCAAATCGAAGGGAGTTTACACTTTTTTTACTTTTAAGTAAACTCTTAAAAGTAAGTGGCTGTAAATACCTTCATCATTTCTGATTCTGAAGACCAGACGACAATTGTACCTTCCTCGACTCGTTTAGTGGCTACAAAAATAAAAAATATTATAGTATTATAGTATTAACTCCATAATGAATGTCTTTGAACAAGAGGTTGGTTTGCCAAATCTCTTACCAATTAATTTGTTGGACAAACACTGTATACAATCCAAAGGAAGAGTTTTCTTTCCTGGAAAACTTAGTTTACCGAATGAAGTCCTGAAAATGGCACAATATGAAGTTCATATCTCAGTTATCATAAGAAATTTAAGCGGAGTTTACACGCGCAATTTTTCGAGCAATTTTTCCTTGTCAAGGAAAACTTGTCAAGGAAAAATTGCTCGTGTAAATGGACAACAAGGAAAATGTGTCAAGGAAGAATTGTCAAGGAAAACTTGTTGACCATTCACATGGGCAATTTTTCCTTGTCAAGGAAAACTTGCTCTTCGTTTACACTATCAAAGAAACATTGTCAAGGAAGAATTGTCGAGGAAAACTTGTTGACCATTCACACGGGCAACTTTTCCTTGTCAAGGAAAACTTGCTCTTCGTTTACACTATCAAAGAAACATTGTCAAGGAAGAATTGTCAAGGAAAACTTGTTGACCATTCAAACAGGCAATTTTTCCTTGTCAAGGAAAAATTGCTCGTGTAAGCGCCGCTTTATTGATGCAATTCAGGCTAAGTTTTGAATTCATAACAAGCTGAAAATTTCAAAAAATCGGGATGTGTCAAAGATATACAAAATTCCTAGGCTAGAGCTACAAGAAATAATGTTGTTTTTCAAGGGTTTATTTGTAATTTTTCTAACCTTGGTTTCTCACTAGTTTTATCTATTTCATCAATTTTCCACAGGAAGCAGCCATCATCACATGCTCCAACCARAGTWTTGCCATGAGGTGGTATTGCAAATGAACGAACAACTGTCTTTGATTTTAACGAAAGAAGTAGTCTACAAAAATAAAAATATTGGGATTACCAACTTTTGAATTTTGATCGACAAAATAAAATAAAAACAAATACAGTTAAATCTCGCTATTATGGACACCTTCGGGACCATAATTTAGTGTCCRAAGTAGCAGGAGTTCATAATAACGGGAGTTTCTTGTAGTCATTTCTTTGTATATTTCTCCGGGCATTCAGTATTTTACTGTCCACAATATCAAGTTGTCCGTTGTAGCGGGTTGTCCGTAAAGCGAGAGTTGACTGTATGAGTATTGCAGTTTACTTTTTATAAGACTCACCTGGACTTTTGTGATTCCCCTTTATGAAAACCAATGTCCCATARAGTAACCGTATCACTGGCTGCACAAAACAGCCATGAAGAATGCACAGGGTGAAACAATAGACTCTCCAAAACACCTTTAAGTCCYGTAATCTCCTCACAGCAAACAAGTTGATTAGGTTCAATGATTTTGATATCTTTTTGYTGGCCACCAGCTGCTAATAAGTTAGTTTTCTTTGAGTTTCCRTTGAAGTCCATGGTGACWGTTGTCCAGGCAATGCAGTAGAATATTTCACTAGGTTGTTTATATTTTTTCATGACCTGACCTGAACTGCAATCGATGAAGCACACTGAATCGCCACCACATGTAGCACAGATAGATGTTGTTTCCCCTAAAAAARCACATCACATAACTGCAACACTTCAAGTGATATTTTTACAGTATTTGTATTCTTTCAAAGGTCTCAAATTTCATGACTTTCCATGACTTTTATATGGTTTTCAATGACTAAAACATAGAAAGTCTATTTCATGAATACTAGAACTTTATGCACATGACTCTAAACTGGCTAGTTTACCGCTAGTTCCCACAATCTAAACTGGCTACACTTTGGCAGAATACAATTGATTAGCATTTGTTTTGAATTTATTCAGGAAAGTAGTCATATTATAAGAGGACAAACAAGAATATTTTCAGTGGTGCTTCATGACCCAAAATTCCATTACTTCCTAGTGCGCTTTCCATTTGTCAGAACTGGCTGGCCAGACCCAGAGAAAATGTCATTATATATCATTCCCATTTAGTTATGAAAATCAAATTTTCAAATTCTATCCATTATTCTACAGAAAACCTCGAAATGACTGAAAAATGTTGACAAAAAGYATTATATACCTCTAAATAGAGTGGTCTGGCCGGCCAGTTCTGCCTAAATGGAAAGCACCCCTAGATTACAAAATCCCAGGACTTTCCATGAAGTTTTCAAGGACCCACACAAACCTCGTTTGAAACTGAATGCATGAAGGAGAAAATATTTGAAAGAAAGAGGGCCTTATGCCATGGATTTGTCAACAACTCTATATTACAAATGAACTGAAAGTACACAAACCTGGTTTGTCCAGGCTTGGTTCAAATTCACACCCCCAAACCTGTGTCTTCCTATCTTCTGGGTTGTTATTGAGTGAATGAGTTTGAAGCAAGTGAGAAACCACRAATCTTGAATTGGCCCCGCTTCTTTCTTGTACCTGATGGAAAACAGACATTAAATTCTCACTAATATTTGACCAATATTGACAATTATCCAAATACTGAATCATCATTTTATCTATTAATTTGATATTAAGTAAAAGATCATTTCATTAAGAGTAATAACAGCAATTATTATAGTTTGGACCATACATTTACATTCTTGATATCTGTCTCTTCTTTTATTTTAACACTTGTATAAGACTTCTCTTGGGCATCAACATTTTGCACAAGATCCTTTTGGATTTCTCCATTTACTAGGGAAAAGAAAAAAAACATTTGCTTCTTTTATAAAGCCATAATTATCAAGATCATAACTTAATTCTGTSTAAAAACCTTCAATTTTCTTCTTTTTCCTTGGACTTTCCCCACTTTCAAACTTCAAACGCATCTTTTGAATATGCTCTTTGCCTAGTATGGATAACTGAAAATCATCAAAATAACATTAGTTAATTTAAAAGACTATTTATCTATAGAATATAAGACTTGAGATTGTTTTAAAAGCATAATCAGTCTTCATAGTTCACAATTTTGTATATTGCAAAATAAAACGGCAACTATGGCATGTTTTACTAGTTTTTTTTTAACAGSCACCTTATCTAGCAAGAAGGACATCGGGGYTTGAAGGATTGACCATTTGTTTAATGCAGTTTAGRAGGAAAATGTAAAAAATCAGAAATCATTGTTTGAGCATAAAAAGCTACATAGTTTGACAAAAATTTAGGATTGTTGAGCATTTGGTTGCAGAATTATTCACAATCAAAGAAACACAAAATTTTTAAAAATGTATAGCRGAAATCCAGACGGTGGTCTCATCTTACCCACTGCCTGGATTCAAAGGCTTACAATGACAGAAATTTTAAGTTTTGTTGACATATTTCCTTATCATACTCTTGGTTTTTTAACGTTTTCATAAGTCCTGACAGCRTTGCATGACACAATTCAAGCTTTAAGGTATCAGCGTACCCACGGGACCCCTACTCGCGTCATCGACTATAACTTTCTTGTTGTTTTGCAAATGCTCACAAAGTATATATTTTCTGAAAGSTTAGTAACTGTAGTTTATGCCTATAAGTGTTTGAAATGCATTTAAAATTATGTTTTAGAGTTATTAGCTCCTTTATCTGAAACTACATGCCTGTATAAAACGAACTCCAAGTCTGAAAGAATTATCGGAAAAAATTCAATTTAAGCGCTATTCCCTTGTTCACATATTTGTCTTGATTTTTTATACGTGCTCTCGTTTTGATTTAATGTTGTAATAAAGTTTAGGAACGCAAAATTATGTCAAGTTCTTTAAAGAACCTTGAATAACTTTTGAAAAAAGACGACTTATCAAAATCCCAGACACAATTTTGTTGCTTAACTATCTGTAAACAATGCTAYGAAATTTGATTAAAATTGGTTGACGGGTATCTGACTTGGAGTTTAAAACRTATGCCCTGATATCTCGAGAACCAAAGAACTGCATACACTCATTTTTGTTCTTATATCTTTATACAGCCTTTTGCAAAAATTATGAGAATTGTCGAAATATCTAAATATCATAATATCCATATCCATATATTGTCTGGAACACGAGGGTTTGCTAGAATAATTCATTGTTGACATCGAGAAAATGTTCAGAACTACGGATAAGTCTGTCGCCAAAAAAAAAACTAAACTACAAAGACAAGGGACTAAGGGAATCGCGCGGGATTACCCATCATTCACTTGATATTATGATATTTAGATATTTCAACAATTCTCATAATTTTTGCAAAAGGCTGTAATGACCATAGTTAATATATAATATAATATAATCCTATTTATATAGCGCTTATCCAATYCTGTTCTAAGCGCTTTAAAACTACATGACAACTACAAAACACATGAGAGTCTTGGTAGACTGTGAGCTTGAGAGTTATAACATATAGTTTGCATCATCATAGGATGCATATTAAAGAATATATATTTTTGTGGTGTAACGTGAAACAATAATAAACAAAGATGAAAACAACAAAGGTAACCTCTACAATGTACARATTATGTCAGAAGATATTGCAATGCAGAATGTGCCTAAATCAAGTCTATTGTACCTAGAAATATAAAGGCAACTATCACTTACCCTAAATTCTCTGTACTCTTTCAGCATTGACGGCCCACATGTAATCTCTTTCTGAACACAAACAACAATGAAAACTACCTGTAAGGTTTATTTGTTCAGGAATATCACCGCTAATTACATCAATGGAATACCTTTAATTTGTCCAAAAATTCATTTTCCAATTTTTGCTTATCAATATCATTGCTGAAAACATCATCAAAGCTTCTTCTCCACACCTCTGAAATCTGGTAGCAAAATTAAATGTTAAAGTCAAAGTTTGTCATTAAAGATAAGCTTTTAAGGGAGACAAACACCATTATCTTCTGACCATAGCCTACCTTACATAACAGTGTACTATCAAGTCTTGAAGCAGCATCTCTCATCATAGACACATCCTATAATACAATGATAACAGTGAACCTTTTGTAGTCAGAGGGCTGTTTAGAGAAGGAACTCATCGACAATGTTACATGTAATAATGAAATTGTCRCTTTCTTTCAAAGAAATAGTTCTTGTAGTACCTTCTTGTCTAGTATTTGTAGTGATGGACAAAGATATACCAATTTATACTTTTCTGAAACCTGAAATAAACAGTGACCAATTAAAAGAACATCCATGTTACAAATTCCTATTCTATTTTACAACATGCATTTATTTTCATAATAACTACGAGGGGACCTCCCTCCCAGTCACGAAGTAMATTAGTRCATGTACTTCCCCATTCCAGACGATGGACTGTAATAAAAAATATATATACAGTTGACTCTCTTTGAACGACCACTCTCGTAAGCGACCATATCCCRTATGCGACCACYTTTTAAATTTCCCGTTATAATTGTTTCCCATATAAACTCTGTAAAAAACTCTCTCGTAAGCCACCATCTCTCGTAAGCGACCACTTCCTCCTGATCCYRAGGTGGTCGCTTAYGAGAGAGTTGACTGTATAATGTAACAACAATAAAATTGTACTTACTTCAATTGCCAGATTATCCAATATATTCACATCTTTTAGTGTTGGAAATGCAGCTAACCCATCCAGTGATGTCAACTCATTATCACTCAGATCAATTTTTGTCAAAGATGGCAGGCAGATCCCATCAGTTTCTAATTTCTTCAATTTATTCCCAGATAAATCAAGCTCTTCTAGATTAGTCAACTGGGCTAGTATATCAGTCTTTAAATATGTTAATCCTTTCTTGGCCAAACTATAAGCAGTCAATAAGCTTCAGAATTACTCTAGCACATTGTCAATACAATACAATACAATACAATAAACTTTATTTAAGGAGGGTGACACGATTAACCCAAAGAGTTATCTAACACGTGGCCCTCACACTACTGAAACAATTACAAAATATAAGAAATAATATTTACATGTTTGTAATGAATGAAAAATCACCATTGTTAACATTTAACAAATTTAAAATAATGTTATCATCATCAAAATTTCATGATCAAAGGGAAAACACAATATACATGTATCTTGGTGGTAAAATGGGAGGCGACCAGCTACTAAATCTAAAATAAGGATTAAGATAACAAGGATCATAAATCTTTTTTACATTCATTTTACTGAGGTTCGTATATTTGTCCCGATGAATGACTTATAACGTCTTTATAAATTGTTTATGCAATACAAATTTCACTAAAAAAAGCTAAAGAATAATGCTAGTGTTGCAATAATTAGTCATAACAAAAACTACTATGGCATGGGAACAATGTCGGCATTGTCACAACAGCAATAAAACTGACAGCTTGACATTAAACAAAACATTACGCGTACATTTACAACCGACTGAAAGTCGCGTTTTCCTCGAATTAAACCACGTGCAAAGAGATCAATAACAATCACTTCCTACCAAAACCGGATAGAATTGAGTCATGCTTACCTCAGATGTTTGAGTTCACTCAAGTTCTCACACTTGCAAAGTTCTTGGATTTTAGCTGCTGTTATTTCAGACTCATCCATGCTGGAATTCAACTTTGCATTCAAGATAATTACTTACATCCTATGCTGTACGTGTAGGMAAATCAAAACCAAAGTTGTGTAAGATTTGCGATAATTTAAGTTATTTTAGAAGATAAACACGCTAAGATACCAACACGTGCGAAATGGCTCCAAACTTTGGCATGCGCGTTCCAGCATACCTTGCCGATTCTGCTTCACAATTAGCCAATCAAAWTACTCGTTATATTTTCTTTCTGGCGTGACAGATCTAAGTGCGTCTCTGRTTGGTTGACTCTCAATCTTCCRTTCCAAGATGGCGGCWCAAGTRAGCGAATGTTGTGCTTGTTCGGGAACAAGAAGTTGTCTAGTATGCGAAAATAATAGTGCGTACAAAAATGAATTGGAAGATAAAGATATAATTACAAGATACTATTTTTGTTTAGYCTGCAAAAGTGCTGTAAAATCTAAAGGAAAGTGTTCTCATYCAGACRACTGCGAAAAAGTGGATAAATTGATCGATGGTTTGTATGTGTTYGAAGATTTTATATCAGAAGCAGAAGAAAACGATRTTGTTAGTGAAATTGATAAAACARTKTGGAAACCTTCGCAATCTGGACGACGAAAACAGGTAAAATGACAAGAGGTTGGCACACAGGGATCCCGCAAATAAAGGGCTAATGTGTAGAACTCAAAATGTGCAAAATGAGTGGTTGAATGAATGAATAGGTAGCAGAATTGATGCTTTGATTTTGAAATCCTATTCTCATCTATCGAGTAATATCAAAAATTTCGAAAACTTTCACTCTGAAATGACTGCATATTGGAAAACTTTGTGTATATATAATTTGATAAAGTCATTCAATTTTCATTCACAGGATTATGGACCTCAAGTTAACTTCAAGCGAAAGAAAGTCAAACTAACTTACTTCAATGGACTACCTGTATTCAGCAAATTTCTCATTGAAAGGATGAAGAAAGATATCCCATTCTTGAATGATTTCAAAACAGTAGAATTGTGCAACTTGGAGTATATTCCTGAACGAGGCTCATCTATTGATTCTCATTTTGATGATTTCTGGCTTTGGGGCGAAAGACTTGTTACTATTAACCTTTTATCAAGTACTACAATAACAATGTCTCATGMGAACTCAAGAATAGAATTAGATGTAGAACTTCCAAGACGATCCCTTATTGTAATGTCAGGTGCTTCTAGATATCAATGGAAACATGGCATAAAGAGAGAAAATATTACTTCCAGAAGACTTGCAATTACCCTTAGAGAACTGTCACATGAATTTYTGAAGGGAGGTCCAAATGAGGCTTTTGGGAATGAAATATATGATATTGCAATGTCATTTTGTGGGAACTCAGTGCAAGTAAACATGAACTGTTCCAGCTCAAAAATAAATGAAAATTGACAAATGTTGTAATATTATTTGAATTTATCACTGTTGTATAATGTGCAAATTATACCAAAAAAAAAGATTTAAGGGAT